CTATTGAAGTCAAAGTTGCAACAAATTGAAGTTACTCGGCGATATTGTCTTATTGAGAATATTGCAGTGACTGACACTCAGTCATTGCGGTGACCGACACTCAGTCATTGCAGTGACCGACACTCAGTCATTGCGGTGGTCGTAAGATTTAAGACGGCCTTAATTCTTGGTTCTTCGTCGGTGAGTGACCAATAAAGTTGAGGAAATGGACAAAAATTTCGACCCTCAGTGAGAAATAAAGATAATTAAAGATAATTAAAGATAATTAAAGATGATTAAAGATAATTAAAGATAATTAAAGATAATTAAAGATAATTAAAGATAATTAAAGATAATTAAAGATAATTAAAGATAATTAGAGATAATAAAAGATAATTAATTTGAGTACTTATAGTCATGCAAATGTTAGAGATTAAACCGTATATAATAATAACCATAATAGGAACAATGGTTAAAATCACATTACACAATGATTTAATTTCTAGCATTTATTTAATGGTAGTGAATGATACACTGCTACATCAACATGATCTAAGGCTCTTACAATGAAAAGAATTCAAGAATATTTGCACACGAATTTTTTTTCAGAACAAATGTGAAAGATCATGTGAATTTTCGAATAACTTTTTATAGGTTTATTTGTGCCATAAAACTTATGCCATATCAAATAGCCAAAAATTTACGCAGGATTTTGCGAAGGTGAAATTTGAAGCAGCAAAGCGTTACAACCTACATGCAGTCAGAAAAATAAATGGGGTCATATTGTCCAAATTATGACATACTTTCTGCACACTAATACGTGCACTTTCGCCAGGTAATACTGGGTCTGGATGACTCACATCAGGACAAGAAGTACGATGCTAATTGGATGAAGATTCGCAAATATATCTGGTGGCACTGCCACCCTCGCTGAGACTACTTACAGTTTATATACATTTTAATTATTAAAATCAATTCTTTTTTTTTGTTGGAATGGTGAGTGTGGGAGGCCTTTAAAAAAAAACTTACAGACTGCATATCATTGGTCCACTGATTTTTTAGTACCTTATCCAAATTTGCAGCAATCACATTTATTTTTATTTTTAACCATTTAATTAATATCAGAATTTTTTTGAGTCGTTATGATTCTGCTGATTATGTTTTCGACCTGACGCTTTGGATTATATATATTGCAGCATTGCTGGTTGAAATTACATCATATATTAAATTTCTGCTTTGATGACATAGACAAGAATATCCAAAGTATTCATTTCAGAATTTCATACGGTGGGGCTTTAATTAAATTTAGAGATCATACATTTTTTAGCTATACGGTCCTACCATTTCTGAACGACAACATCAAGTCATAAAAGTCTGACTGTCTACATTCCGCAAAACTTTATTGCTTTTATTGCGCTTTTTGACTTGCCGTACACAATATTACAGAGAATTTAGACTAAAAAAATTACAAAACACAAAGTGTCATATGTATGGCTATGGACATCTAAAAAAAATATGTAACAATAATTATACGCAAAAATTCAAATGAATAAGTGTTGCAAAAAATTACACTTTAAAAAGTGTAAAAAATCTAGGAATTCTGCCAAAAAATTCTGATGAATAGTTCAACTCAATATTTCGTTTGAGGAAGAGAGCGACAACCTCACCTGACGCTGTCTCAGCCCACACTGAAGCTCATGTCCATAATTAATGAAGACGATGACATGTGCTTGACACAAGTACGCAGGCGAAAATGTGGTAAACATGATTGCTATTTTAAATTTGTGCAATAACAAAACATATTCATAAATTAGCATATTTGCGAGTAGCATATTCGGGAAAACTTTTCATTAGGATTATACTAGAGGTCGCAAAATAATTTATCTAAAATCTATCGCAGAAGAAGACTACTTAAATAACTGAATGGAAAGAAAAGTTCATTGACGTAATTTAAACGGTCAGGCCATCGGCTCATTAACTCTACGGAATAACGAATCAGCATTTAAGTATTTGGCGTCGCATTTGCTCCATTTACTAATATAATTGACAAGCTTTCAGCATCGATAATATTAGTTGAATATTGATTAAAAATAATCCACTTAGTAACAAATAACTGATATATAATTATACGCAAACTTGTAGTCGTTACGGAAATACTGCACTCATTAGTAGACTGTAGCCAGTATGAAAATATTTTATATTTGCATATTCACCTTTTTTAAATAATAGGACAAAGAAGATCAATCGATTTGCTAAAGATAAAAATTATATTGAGAGACAGAAAATATAATTTAATTTAATATAATATAAAAATACTATTTGCTCACATATAATAAACTCTGCGAATGCGTGCAATAAATGCCCATCGCATCAGCTTCCATGAGCCAAGACATGTGATGTGAACAAATATTCATGCATAATTCGAGGCAAAAATAATCTATTTTTGCCTCAAAAATATTTTATTCCAGGTATTGTTTAGCCTCATTAGATGCTATACTAACATGAAGTCTGGAATTAAATTTTCCAGCATGTATCCTGTTATTTCCTGCAATGCAATACCACCGGGCTGAGCTCTACTTTTTGACGCACGTCTGCCGGTCTACTAACAATCATTATGACTTTTATTTTCGCTCAAAGTTAGAAATTACTCCAAAAAGTAAAGTTTTTAAAGACCCGCTGAAGAGGGTCTGGTTTCCCCCAAATGTTTCATATCACAAGCCCCACTTAGAAAACTGCATGGGTCATGTCCAAAGAGTCTTTGCACGTAGCACTGATACACCCTTTTATCTGTTGTAAACTGGGTCAAGGTGACCCACACGATGCAGAAAGTGCGTTGTTATTTGGATTAGCCAATTTCTTTGAGTGTTGTGGCGGCCATATTGCATTTGGCGCATGCGAGGCGTAAATAAGACGCTGGAATATTTTAATAAAAATATTTATATTAGAATATTTCAATGCGACAGCAATGCAGCCTCACCTTCACTATAGGGACAGGGCAACACAATTCAAGCTGCGGGCGGCCGCCGAAAAATGACGTAAAATGTCAATAAACTCAGCTACATATTCAATGTGAATTAAAGCCAGCGCAATACAGAACTGTTGTTCCTTCGGTGGCCGCTGAAAACACGACCAAGAATTGCAATTGTGGATGCAATATGCGAGCAAATTCCGATGAAGATGTCGTTGCCGGGATGATATTGACGTTTGAAGCCGACAAACTTGATTGTAAACTTCTGCAGCGGTCTCGTAAACACGCGTCAAAATAAATATATATTTCAAATCCATTCGCATGAAAGTGATGCGTTCTTTTAAAAAAATCTGAACAAATAAAATTTAAAAAAGGCATAAGCGCAATCTTAAAGTCTTATAAAGTTAATGAAATATAGGAAATATTTTTAACTGATCAATCCATCATTGATTACTCAATGGGTACCTCTCTGTCTCTCATACAATAACTACTCTATTTTTCAGCTGGTTTCTATACGTACGCCAACTCAATCTAAATATAATCTGAATATAATAAGATTAAATACAGGCAATTTTTAACCCAAAATTGTGAAGAATTTTCCTCACCTACCCATTAGCTACATTAATTTTCCTTCCAAAAGTTTCTCTTAGCAGAAAAATTTCCATAAAAATGATGTTCCAGAGTACATTTTTACCCGATACCAGGCAAAATGATCGCGTATTTAAACGTAGCCATTAAAAAAGTTCATACCTCAATCGCGCAAATTCTTATACTCTGTGTGAACCATCCTGTATGTAACACAAAAATTTTTGCGTTTGTGTGACCGAGCGACCATTTTTGAAGCCAGAAATAAACTTTAGATTGGATGACATTCGATGTGATAAAAATGACGATGTCTGCAGTGAAAAAACCGCCAGTCGGTGTACCGTGAAATGACCGTTGCTAGACTTCAAACGCGCGCTCGGCTTTGAAGAAAGTAAAAGTATATCGCCAAACAGGAAAATATCTGCAGTGTAATATCATACATCAATGTAATATCATACATCAATGTAATAACATACACCAAATATTTTCCGTGATACTGAAGCTCCAAACGCGAAGTGATCGAACGAATAATTACAAAATACGGTGATCAGTTGATATTAGTATTAATGTTTTCAGAGTAAAATTATTTAAAATTATATGGATTTGTATGAATCCATTGTACAAAAGGATTTTTAAAATATTAATAATATTTTGATTATGCCAGCCAGTGTAAGAGAGGCTGATTCACGCACACGTCTTAATGCGGTGAAAAATTGAAATGAATTCTTCTTGAAATGCATATTCTTAAAAAAATACACGAAAAAGTGTTCAATTTCGATTTATTGTATAAATCGAATAAATCGATATTGTATAAATTGAAATGGTATATTGATATATAATCGATATTGATATCATTGATATTGATATAATTGATATTGTATAAATTGATATTGCAATAAATCGATATTGTATTGATTTATTCGATTCACCGACTTTCAATTAGTAGACCGTCTGGTACAGCTCTGGTGCCATGACCGACCAGAGCGCAGCTCCAGCCATTCTTTTCGCCAAAAATTCATTCAGAGTCTTCAAAATTCCCGTTCTAACGGTTAATTCTTTTTGTGGGGGCTCGACAAAATTGTTTTTAATGATTTATACTTTTGCCCGTGCTTCAAAAATACGTTCTTACGGTCAATGCTTTGTCGTCCTTTTGAATTTCCGCGGAACTTCTGTCTTCAAGACGGACCATTGCAAGCGGCGCGTAGGTACTCAAATTATTGTCATTGTTAGGTCACCCAACATCACAAGCTTTTTATTAATAAAAACTTCGAGCTATGTAACACATTACATTATTTGTAACATGTAACATTACGTTATCATTTTGATGTAATCTATACAGATATTAATTGCTGCAATAGATATACATATAACAAAAATATGTTCTTGTTATTTATATATCCGTCCAGTTAAGTCATCGAAGTCGTGCAAGAGAAGTTATGCGTGCAAACAAAGGTTCAAATAATCGTTCTTTAGACTCACAATTTTATTGAATGACGATATAACTTCTTCACAAAATAGGATTATAGTGCACATACTTGATCCGAACAAACAAAAGAAAGGTTAATTCTATCATTTGGAATCTAAGACAAACATTCAACAAAAAAAGCCTTCATCCTGAAGGAAGTTCACCAGGAAGGACATAAAATAGTTGGCATATAACTTGAAGTTTCATTTCCAAGTCTGTACGCCAGAACTATTTTATATTACAGCGATAGAGAGATGCCCTTAATAAGTATTTTATTAATTCATCAGCTAAAAGATCAAAGTTAATTACCTTGAGATGCTATAGCCCTCCAAGAAGAGATTCTTTAAAAAGGAGCATCACTAGGATACCACACAAGCGCCCGACGACACCTTAGCATCTACAGAAATAAAGGAAGGATTCGTGCAACCAAACGCACTTAACACCATATCCTATAGAAGGATCTTCAAACTCTAGAATAACGTTACGATGTAAGAATGTTTAGTAACGTACTAACCTTCATCAAACTCTAGAATAACGTTACGATGTATGAATGTTGAGTAACGTAATAACTTTCATCAAACTCTAAGGTGAACGTTACGATGCACGAATGTTCAGTAACGTCGTTACAATCACCGAACTCTAAGGTGAACGTTACGATGTATGAATGTTCAGTAACATTGTCACATGACTAATCTATCATCGCGACTCTATCACTGCAGGGACGAGAAAAAAAGCAGCCACAGTGTGAACCGAAGCAAAAAGTCAAGTCGATATTCACCCAAAATTAGAAAACTACTTCCAATACACGAAAGGTAAAAATTCCTTCAAAGGTTTGAACACGGCAACACCTTGATTACTACCATAGTAATACCTTGGTAATTGAACACCGGTGATTTAGATACTGTGGTGCTTCAAAATAGGGAGGCTTAATGTTTAATTTTAAGCTTATAGGGACATGCGCCGGCTTACTTACATCCTGGCTTATTCTCCAGACCAGCAATATTCAAAGACATTTAATCAAAGTGCATGGAATTCATTCCCAGTAGCAACGAGCAGCGAATCTAAAAGAAAAATTCTGACTGTCAAACAAACGTTTTTAATCAGTGTTCATTGGATCGCTATTAAATAGCGATTTACCGTCAACCAAAATTAGTTAGTACCCTGAGTAATCAATTTCAAGATGAGTGAAGAGGATGAGTATTTAACTTGAACGCTCATTACCTCGAAGAAAACTTCAGGGGCGTTTACTAGAACCTCTCGACACTCTAGACAGTAAAACGTTTACTCCAAAAAACTAAACAGTATAGAAACTAAAACCTCAAGTTTAGTATAGAAAATGTCGTTAAAAAAGCTGTTGATGGGCACAAACATAGGAAGCAGTTTATTATCTGAAACTATTTCAGGTCACATTTAAAGAAGAAAATAACGTTAACTACTTATAGATTAGTTTCAGTCTTGAACTGTAAATAAATCACGTTAGTTACAGTCGACCGTTTCCATTCATTGAACTGACAGATTCCATCTGCAAAAATTGTTTTTATTTCTAGAGAATGTATAGAAAATGTCCACAAGATATTAGGAAAAGGATCATAGGAACCACTCAGTCGCTCAGACTCATGTCAGTGTGAAATGTCAAACTCAAGTTTTCAAAATTATTAAAAAAAACAGCTGTCAGAAAACTGCAAGTTGACAAAGCGAATGTTGAAATAAATACAAATATCCATAGAAGCGCCAGCACACTTTCTAGTATGGATTTGTTTACACTGTGCAAAGTAATGTGTAGAGCAGGAAAATAAAAAAAATCTTAAAGCGCTAGTTCCAAATTAAAGGAAAACGTTCGTGGACAAGTTAGAAACGAACAAGATTCTTCTAAATAAATTAGAGAGTACGTTGAAATACTCGAACACGAAATAAATCGAGCGATAGATGAGCCCACAGCAGTATTATGCCTCCACTTTTGCATTACATTGCAATGTTGCATCAACGGAGTCTTCCGAGTACAGCTGAGCCACCGCTTGGAGTTTAGAAGTAGTCGAGTTTTCCACAAAAAACAACTTTGTCTGGTGTTGGTTACTACCGAAGCATGAGGTGCTTGTACACGAGGTCAGCAGTAGCAGCCTCTACAACTTTCAAATGCCAACAGCCACTAATTATCCTGCTACTGGCCTCGTGTAGTTACTGGGTCCTCCCGTGGCCAGTAGTGCAAGGCTACTAGCACGGTAAGTAGTGATGATTAGTAGCTGGAAGTGGTACTGGCCGCCACTACTGTCCTCGTGTACACGCACCTCAAGCCTTCGTGACATGACAGGTAGCGAAGAATGGTGGACAATCAACGCTGATAAATGCTAATTCTTATCTGCGTACGTGATAATTATTGGTTGAATTGACAGTAAATAATCAAAGAGAAGATTAAGAAAATTCCGCAATGCAAACGGTTAAAACAAAAGATAACTTTTATGACCCTGAAAATTTTATATCAGTTGCAACGCTGTTATGTAAGTGAGTGAGAAGGGACTCGTTTGATGACTAAAAAGGTGTGAATTGAACCGAATTTAAGTTTTTTTTTCGTGAAAATAATAAGTATATATTGGATAATGTTCTTAAACGGAAAAGATGGTGCGCAGAGTTGGGTTAGATGGGAGGGAAAACTGAAAAAATGGGTCGACAGAGACTGAAAAGTGATCGAAAAACCGTCCATAGAAAAAGGATCGGGAGATCGTCACCTGAAAAACGATTGAAGTAAAGTCGATTGTAATACGATTGACTGATCGTCCACTGAAACACGATTGAGGGGTCGTCCAATGAACCACTGAAAGGTCGCTCACCCAAGTGTACATATCTTCTAACATCAATAAAGAGAAGTATTCGAATCCTTTTAACCTCAAAAACTGATTTAATTATCGTTCTTAAAAAAAAACATTCTACTTGCCAAAAAAATTGATTCGGTGCGTAGATAGGTACATGGGAAGACAAGTCAAGTGAATCAGGAATGCGTGGAAAGACGATGCAACCGTTGGAAAAACATCGAGAAATTCCAATAAAAGGATAATATTAGTAGAAATGAACATAGATACTGATGAAATTAGCGGCAGTGTTAACATAAACGAAGGAGTAATCGCACTTGAATGACGTGACAAACAAATGAGAAATTAACATACCCACAGAGATAAGAAAATAAACAACTAAAATTAAATTAAACTCGCATTAGTAAGAGTTAATCCACTTGAACATGGAGCTTGAATAACTCGACGAAATGTTACAGTCAATCATTTAATCTAAATTAAATACCTTAGAAAAACAGGAAATCTGTGTAATTTGAGTAGAGAGTATTATGGCCTAAAACAATGTAGTTTTTGAACCACAAAATCGATTATTAAATATATCTTCGACAGCTAGTTCAGTCTCAGAGCATTAGAGAATATTCAGTGCAACTGCGTGACAGCCATTAAAATCACGCAATTCTTTCTTAAAGATTACACCGAAACCAAGAGCAAACGGTGAGAAGATTTCCAATGCTCAGTCGAGCTTAAACGATCCGAAGTGGAAAAAGTAAGGAAAACCTCAACGATGACCTGGGATGAATAAATCGCACACCGTCAAAATTAACGGAAAAGCATCACATAGAAGCGGTGATCTGGAGCCAGTTTTATTATGTTCACGGAGAATAAATGGTCAATTGAAGACCAGACGCCGAACATTAGTAAAGCATGTCAGGTAGTGCTGTACAGGACCAGGGAGTATCGTCGCTGATACTCGGTTTGAACTGCTATGAAATCTTGTTCTAATTTCATAGACAATTAGGGACGCATATCAGATTACAAGAAATAATAGAAACAAAGTTCAGCGATACAAAGAAACGGGCACCTGATTGCGGAAACAATACAAATTTCAGCGAAAAGTAGGGTTAGGAAGGACGCGCGTCAGAATACACACAAGAATAGCAGCAGAGTTCGGTGCTAGAAAGAGATGCAGCTTTAGAGAGCAGCAGCAGTTCAGGTCATGCTCATCAAGAACTGCTCGAACGCGACCCCTTCATCGCCGTCCAGCTCACACACTTGCGGCACCACCTTCGACTGTGACCTGAAACATGTCATTCCGTCAATATCTATATTGAATGTATAGACATTTTTAGAGGGAGGATATATTTTTAATGTATATAAATTATTAGAGGAAAATACATATTGAATGTATATAAATTTGAGGAGGAAGAATACATTTTGAATGTATGTAAATTTAAGGAGGGAGGATATATTTCGAATGAATAGTATAAATTTATGGAGGAAGTATATATATTATTATAATTATAACATGGAGGATAGAAGAAATACAAAGTCATATGTTGTATATACCACATATTGTGCAAGTTAAGAAGCATAAGTTTTTTTCATACCTAAGGGATTGAAGATATAAGAGATGAAATAACACTCTTATTAACATGATTACAACGATTTCTCATATGCCAAACTTCCTTGGCAGACTTTGCCTACCACCATTTGCAGAGATGCTATTTTTGATGAACATGTTTTTAAAAATAAAAACATTTCATTTTCGTAATATTTTTTGATTCTCCCTATCTTTCCAAAAACCTTAAAAAAATAAAAAAGAAAATGACTTTACTTGTATATTAAAATTTTTAAAAATGTAAAAATAATTGAAGAGGACAACGTGTTACCCCTAGGCGTCAGAGCGTTAAATAATAAACGAGTTCGCTGAAAAACTAAGGCTAAAAGGACAATAAATACACCAACTGACATACATGAACTGAGTGAAATGAATCTCCGCCAGAACTCTATATACAGTGGGGGGAAATAAATATTCGTACACTTGAAAAATCGTATTTTAATGTATGTAAGTACACAAACTGAACAGGAGAAGTGATTTATATTATGTATAGAGGCGCATTGTATTCAAAAATAGCATCAATAGAAATTAAATCTCAATGCAACAAAAATTAATGCAACATGTTAACTTCTTCGGGTCAAAAAAGTATTCGTACAAAACAACTTTTGACTAATATTTCACACCAGAACATTCCAGAATGTACTAGAAACATATAGCACGTTCCAGTAATGTAATCAGTAACCATAGTTAACGTATTTTGCAACTACCAGATCATTCTGCAACTGCCCGTAGTACAAGAAGGTCTCAAAAATGGCTAAAGGTAAAGAACTAACAAGTTCCCCAAAACAATTAATTCTATCGCGTTGGAAGGAAGGAGAAAGTTATAGGAAGATTGCTAGCCACTTGAATGTTCCTTTTAGTACAGTTGCTTCGTTCATTGGACGCTTCAAGACCCGTGACAGCGTTGAAAACCAAAGACGATCAGGTGCTCCTAGGAAGATTTCTGCACGATCTGCTAGATTATTGGGACGAAAAATCCAAGAAAATCCACAGATTACTCGAGGAGAGTTGCAAAGTCACCTGAGTGCCTCAGGAATTCAAGTAACCAAACGAACGATAAGCAATGAACTTCACAGAAACGAATTAAAATCACGCACCCCAAGAAAGACCCCACTCCTAATGAAACGACATCGAGATGCCAGGCTGAAATTCGTCAAGGAGCATAAGGACAAAGACTATGCTTTTTGGGAAAAGGTTCTTTGGACGGACGAAACAAAAATTGAGCTTTTCGGTCGAAATTATCGTCACCATGTGTGGAGGAAAGACGGTGAAGCCTACCTTCCAAAGAACACTGTGCCTACTGTAAAGTTTTGTGGTGGCAACATCGTGATCTGGGGTTGTTTCTCCGCAAAAGGTGTTGGTAACATATCACTTATAGATGGTAGGATGAATGCTGCAAACTACCAGAGCATCCTGGAAAATAATTTGACGACTTCTGTTGAGAAACTAGAGCTACCTGGTGATTGGATTTTCCAGCAGGATAACGATCCTAAGCATACTGCAAGATCCACAAAGAAATGGTTCGCTGATAGAAATGTACACGTTATGGAATGGCCAAGCCAGTCGCCGGACTTGAATCCGATTGAAAATTTGTGGCGGTATTTGAAGATTCAAATTAAGAAAAGGTCCCCAACAAACATTGAGAATCTTAAGGTGGTGTGCCAAGAAGAATGGTATAAAATACCAGTCAGCATCTGCAAATCATTGGTCGAGACGTATAGAAATAGACTGGTATCTGTTGAGCTGAATAAAGGGTATTCAACCAAGTATTAAATTAAAATAATGCGGATTTATTGTTTTGTACGAATACTTTTTTCACCCGAAAAGTGAACATGTTGCATTGTTTTTTGTTGCATTGAGATTTAATTTCTTTTGATAGTATTTTTGAATACTATGCGTCTCTATACATAATTTAAATCACTTTTCCAGTTAAGTTTGTGTACTTACATACCTACATTAAAATACGATTTTTCAAGTGTACGAATATTTATTTCCCCCCACTGTACTTTAACAACCTGAAGCTGCTGAACAATAAGTAAAAAGATGAGCATTTGTCTGCGCCGGAGCGGAAAAGCCAAAGCAATGTCCGCGATCTCACGATCATATCAATAGTTCTCTAAGGTAGATATCACCCGCAGAACGCAGATACGTTGCAATAGCATACTTTTCTCACGCTGAAAATTTAAATCAAATGTCCTTCGCTCAACCTGGCCGAACAAAAATTTGCTGCTTATTGCTTAATGCACACAGCTTTATTAGTAATGCAAAAATACGCGCAAAAATAGCACAGGTATAATAAAATTTGTAGAAAGCATAGGCCGTTCTCTAGCACGCAGAGCTCGATTACTAGAGTACAAAGAACGCGGGGGGAAAACCACAGAGCACAGGAACTGAGGTACACTCAAATTATTGAAGGGGTCATAGGTTACTGTCAAAATAATGACACACTCTTCCTCGAAGTACTACAAGCAAAAATGCGAACTCGACACTGATACGCTCCCTTGCCAGGCCAGCCAGGACCGTGTTGACCCACACAAGAGGAAGAAATGCATCGCTGTTCGGACGAACTCTTTCTAATTTTTCTCACGACTCTAAGAAAATAACTTAATCAATAAATAATTGAATTATTTAGATAATAAATAAATTAGTAGAAAGAATAATTTCTCTCATAAAATGACTCACGACTGTCGGGAGGCGGAGTCATCGGAGTCGCTGGGGTAGTCCTCAGGGCAGTCTTCTTCTATGCGCTGAATGGCGCCGTCAGGACCGTAGAACACCGTGCCCAGCTGCACAAGGAAAATTAGATGTAAATAATGGATATTTCAGGGGTGAACACAGACACGGCATATTTACGGGTTAAATACTGGATACTAGAGGGGTAAATCCTGGATACTAGAGGGGTAAATACTGGATTGAAAGTCTAACGATCACCAATTTCACAGTAAGAAATTCATCTCCATTCTAATCGCACTAGTTATCGAAACAGGACGACAGTAATTATATCGGAACAACTAACATCAACTAAATACAAGTATAACCTTAATTCTCAGCTACCTCAATAACCTTAACCTCCTTAATAACCTCAGTCCTCAATAACCCCACTGCCGCTCACCACTGGCAGACCACCATTAGCTGCAGCAACACTTCTAGAAGCAGATTTTTCTTCACTATCCTCGCCAGGCTTAGCGTCCCCGGCTTCGTCAGGATTACAGCCCCAGTTTGCAGCTTGGAATTCCACGACGGACATGAGGAGGCTCTTGATGTTGGGCGGCAGTGACGTCATCGTGATGTCGCGTACCTTCGTCATCACAGCGTCGATGTCGTCCGTCTCACCCATCGCAAGGTAGCGCCCGCTCATCTGGGCACCAACATGAGAATAAATAATCTGTGTTGAATTTGGGTGAGGAAATATATGAACAAGCGCACATATGTTGGATTTAAAAATTTGAAACTCTATTTTAAGCTGATATTTTGGAACTTGATAAGTTGACAGGTTTGATAAATCTTGAATATATAGACCACCTATTCAAGAATTCCACCTTGGATGATATAGTGTCGCCATTTTAAACCATTTGTCAGGTTCGTGTGTTTGAGGTGACAAACTTCCATTTTTAGTCCAACATGATGTCTGTGTAGTTGAATGCTAGACGTAGATGACAGGTCTTGCTTAACATTCATTTTAAAGTTATAAGAAGTATTGAATAATGGAATTTCAGTGGCCATAATAGACAGTCCACATAAAGAGGCACATTTGGTAGTTTGGAAATTATTGAGTGGACTTCAACCCTATGCGAGGAGAGGAATGTATGACAATATCATTCCAGACTGAATGCCGTCTGATTATTCGAACACTTAAGCAGATACCCCACCCAAATGCCATGCTTGACGCTCAGGACAAGTTCTTTCGGGAAATTCAGCTCATGGCCAATCAATAAATTCATCAGATTCAGGTAGAAAAAAAATCAAATGGCTTATCTGTGGTCTTGTGTAATGCAAAAGAAAAAAAATTCTTTTAAGTCAGCCATCCGGTGTTTATTAAACAACTACAAGGGGCCTTGGTGCCCTGAAAACTGTCCTCTCAACTCACTTCTGCGACACCACTTTTAGGATGGACAATTACAATTACAACAACAACTTTACACTTCGAGCTACAAACCTTGAGAACTTGAGCGACACACTTGAGACTCTCATTGGTGGAGACCTCGAGCAGCAGGTTAAGCATTTCACAGAGAGCTTCCTTGAGTTTAACGATGGGTCCCCCCGAGGGCATGAGGAGCCTGGTGAGGATCTCAGCCAGGAAATATGTGAAGCCGATGAGGCGCTCGTAGAACTGGACCGCGAGGTACTCATGGCGGTACTCGAACTCTTCCTGGCATCTGTGGCAGCAATGTGGGGGTGAATGAGGGATGAAGGGGTGAATGAGGGATGTAGGGGTGAATGAGGGATGTAGGGGTGTATGAGGAATGTAGGGGTGTATGAGGGATGTAGGGGTGAATGAGGGATGTAGGGGTGTATGAGGGATGTAGGGGTGTATGAGGGATGTAGGGTGAATGAGGGATGTAGGGGTGTGAGGAATGTAGGGGTGTATGAGGGATGTTGAATGAGGGATGTAGGGGGTGAATGAGGGATGTAGGGGGTGAATGAGGGATGTAGGGGTGAATGAGGGATGCAGGGGTGAATGAGGGATGTAGGGGTGAATGGAAGGAATGTAGGGGTGAATGTAAGGAATGTAGGGGGTGAGGAATGCAAGGAAATGAATCATAAATGGAAATGCCGTAATCTGTATTGGTTTCAAAGGTGTTTTCAGAAAGCTAATAATTTTCTCATTGAAATAATAAAACAAAATTGAAAAATACCTGGCACTAGTGATGAAATATTATTTTAGATGAACGTCTATGAGATAATTTAAACCTGTGTCAATGCAACCTCCTGTTTACTTGGCATTGAAAACAAAGCAGAATATTACATATGCGCTATTAGACATTAAACAGAATTGCAGCAAATGCCGTCCTGGTACAGAGAGTAAGGGCTAAAATTTATTAAATTCATCGCAAAATGCACCCAAAAACCAGGTAGCAGCAATATAAAAACCAATAAACTAAAACCCATTGAAGCAATAGCTCACCGATGCAGTAAGATGCTCTTGAAGCTCAGGCCATTGTACGTCTGAGCAACATTCTTGACGAGATGCTCGCACAGCTTGCCTCCAGTGAACCGGAAATTAGGCTCACCGACACCCTGCATGAAAAATGTTGTATGAAATGATTTTATTAATAATAACTCGTGTGAAATTAACCTCACAAATACCGTAGTAGCCTACAGGACAAATGTGATATGGAAATGATTTTAAAAATACCGTAAAAACTCTTGCAGAAATTAACCTCACAAATAACCTCCAGGACAAATGTGATATGGAAATGATTTTTAAAATAATAACTCTTGCAGAAATTAACCTCACAAATAACCTTCAGGACAAATGTGATATGGAAATGATTTTAAAAATAATAAGTTATGCGGAAATTAGCCTCATCAACACCCTGTAGGACCAATGTTCTCTTGCAACTTTCTTGAGGGAATAAATGATCATATTCTCACCATAGACATACGGTACCATGACTCCACAGTGAGAAATCATACAAAAGAGCAATTCAACACGAAAATGATTGGATATATTGTGTTGTATGGCCCAATGTACAGATATAGGGAAGACCATATGATATTGCAGACAAAAAATTGCAATAAACAACAATGTCTTTTAAATAAACATATCTCAACTTATAGGAAAACTATGGTAAGTAGAAATTTAAATTCCAAAGGGAGTTATGATTCCACTCCTGATGAACAACAATGGGTGCAATTAAGATGAAAATTATCTTGTTTACTTAACAATTTGAAATCGATCAAGTTAAAATTTTTCAGACATCATGGTTGCAAAGATTGGTACACACAAAAATTAAATGAAATCTTTCTAAGTTGAATATAATATTACTAACATGAAATAAAAGATAATGTTACAGGGTTCAATGGTTAATGTGATTCTCATCTAAAGCGTGCACTACATACAAATAAAATCACTTAGATGAAATTCCAGTTACCTGTACCTTACCCAAGTTCAAATGAAGTCATTGTCGCATGCATAAAACTTGAAATTTTTCAGGGTTCGAAATAAAATTACATAAATTCAAGAAAGAGGCTCAAATAAAATTTCCATTTATCACATTGTACACACGCACTTGTTCAAAGATGACCGTCACAACCTCCCGCATGAGATTCTCTTCCTCGATCTTCCATGAGAGCAGCCGGGTGAGCTGGGGTGCGATAGACTCGTACCTGTACAGCAATGCTTGTTAATTAATGCTTGTCATTGCCCGAGAATGCTTATCAATGCTTGTCAATACATGTCAATGCTTGACAATGCTTATCCGTACTTATCTATGCTTGGGAATAGACTGCAAGCAATCAATCAAGACCGCAAGTGCGACCGTCAATGACACACAAGTTGCCATCCAGAAGGTAGGGCAACTGAAGGCCACATCCCCTACCTCGCCACTCGTTACCAAAAAAATGTATAAAACTGGTCAGAACTCAGCTTTGTAGGATCAGAACTATGCTTTGTAGGATCTAATAACCTCATGAAGATTAATTTGTTTTGATTGCACTAGAAATTTGTCGCTCAGTTTTGTTTATAAAATAGATAGAAAAATACATAAAATAGATTAAAAAATTGAAATAAATTATAGAGTTAGGCTAAAGTTGCCAGGAACATATAGCCCCTGCGGTTTGAGTTTTCCCCATCATCCCAAATTGCATTATACCGAATACAGATAGTAATTTTGAAAGTCAAGTCCACTAATTAAAACAATCCCAGCCGTAACCGGGATTAGCATAAAGAATGCATTCAAGTCCCTTTATAAGTACGTATAAAGGAAACTAGGAAGCTTCACAAAAGTTACACTTACCAAAACATTGATCATTTCACTTGTTAATCTAATTCTCGTTGAATTTTCTATGTCCCGTGATTCCACCTTTAAAAATGTTATATATGCCAAGATAATATCCACCCACCAAATCAGCCATTAAAAATTTCAAGTCAGATGCTTCTAGCATTTATATACCGAATGCATACTTTCACAAATTAATAATTTAAAAGAACACAATTCTGCATCCCCCGACTTGATTTAAAAACAATATACATTCAGAAAAAATGAATACATTTGAAAGTGATATGATCATTATGATGCAAAAAAATCGTTACTGAAATTAACGTGCTAAATGAACTTTGAGAAGGACAAGCCAATATTCAGTACTAGACATTTAAGAAAACTTCTCAATAAACGTGTCTAAATAAACGTTGAGATGAAGAACTGGCTCAGAAAATGTGCATGAAAGTGTACCTATATAACATACTTGCTAGGGCTAGTGGATAGCGTCACAACTGCCGAATCCACTTGAATAACCACGGGATGGCCGGCAAGCTCGGGCTGGATCTGAATCAAGCTCTGTAAAACAAATGATTATGTTAGGACATTGCACATCTTGAGAAGAATGTAAATAAAGACATTTATTCAAGATTCAAATTAATGTTTGCAAATAGTAAATGATTGCTTTATATGTGATGCAAGACTAACAGTGAACAATGAACTTACATTATGCATGCTAATATTTTTATAGAAAAAATTAAGGCATGCTGATGGGGAAGAAGAGTGAAATCTCAAAGTAAAAAATTATGCAAGTAAAAGCTAAGATTTGAATCAAGAGGCACGATGAATAGATAAATGTAATTTGCTTTATAACCAGGCAGATTCACATAATGTTTTTTAAATTTAGGATCTCATGAACTCAATATCATGTGTTCAGTAGACACACATCCCTATTGCACACATCCCTATTGTGTGCAATAGGCTCATAAATTAGTACTACCGTATTTCCTGGCCCTGAAAATCGAGTGTTTCAAATGCAAAACTGTTGATAGTAAGCACTTAAAAGCTGTCAAAATTATTGATATGTTATAGCAAATTTTTAAAAGATACTTTATTAGCAAAACTCAAAATAAATGAGCCCATATATGACACCAAAATGAAATTTTTTAATAGGCTAAACAGCAAGGAAACAGCTATGCAGACAAGAAGATTCAAGTTCTCTATAATCCACTATGAGGATCATTTTTTACTTGATCATCAGATTACATTTATGATAACAAATTGCAAGTATTAACAGTAATATTTCATCAAAGTGTAGACTAATGAAAAACTGGGAAATTTTAGAGAATATTCTAACTAAATCTACCTATACGGTACCCTTGATTTTCAATAAATGACAACAATCTCTTACCCTGAGGCATTTTATAAAATCTGAAGTGACATAATAATGTAAAATATTAGTAATGAGGACACTTTTGGCAAATTACAGAGAAATGCTAACCATGTGGCCACTAATCTGTTGAGGCATCATGGTGTTGGCCATCTTGGAATTGCCATTGGTGACTTCCAACTGCTGGCTATCCGCACCAGCAAAACGAGGAACAAACACCGCAGCATCAGCTGACAGCATGCTTGCATTCCGACTGCCAGACATATCTGTAAGATATATATTTTCAGTTAATAATTAGTACTACGATAACACAAAATATATATTTGCCATGCTGATAAGAATTGAATGAAGTTATTTATAAATTATATTCATATTTAATAATGGTATATAGATAGATATAGAATTGTGCAGATAAAGCACCTCATCTACACAGGATTTTATGACGAATTAACACATCATTTTAAAAAAAATGTGTGCATACTATGATCCTAGAGATAGCAATTTTGTCCTAAAAAATTGAATGATTTCTGACATCATGACAATGCATTATTTGTAAGTAAATTGTACTTTAGTTGATATATTTTCCATAACCTGTTTCCTACTTTCTAGGACTCAAGCTTATAGTTAAGGTAGTAAGTTACCTGATTGATTAGACAAGACAGATAGCTGAGCTTGTTGTTGTTGCTGCAGTTGCTGATGATATTGCTGTTGTTGCAATTGTTGATGCTGCTTCTGCAGCTCTAAATGCTGTTGTTGGATAAACTGATGTGGAGGTTGCTGGGGCGATTGTTGCAAATAAATGGCATCTGGATTTTGCAATTGAAGAGAAGCTAGTTTTTGCTCAATTTCTAAAGCATTCATTGCAGAAGCTTGGTTATGCAATTTTTGCTGTTGAGCTTGTCTTAGATACTGAAGTCGTTGCTGTTGTTCCATCTGCTGTTGCTGCTCAAGCTGCTTATAATGTTCCTGTTTTATACGCTCTAGTTGGGCTTGTTTTTTCTTTAGTTCTTCATACTCAAGAACTTTCTGAGGATCCATGTACTGCTGTAGAGGAATATTGCTAGCTGCAATTCCACCAACAGAATATAATTGAGGTGACTGTGAACTGTGTGAATGCTGCTGTTGCTGTGCCTGCAGAAGCTGCTGCTGACTGACATACTGAGCAACACTGACAAGTTGTTGATTAACCATTTGCTGTTGCTGATTTGCCATCTGATGTTGATTGGCTAACTGAATCTGGTTGACTAAGTGGTGCTGATTAGCTAAATGCTGTTGTTGGTTTGCCAGCTGCTGCTGATTGACCAAGTGCTGCTGAAGAGCTGGAAGAGATAGTTGTTGATGTTGAGATTGCACTTGTTGATTAGCCAATGCCATTTGAGCATGCATATTTTGGTCCGTTGGATTTTGTAAAGCCGGGCGGGAATGAACAAGTTGAGACTGAGTAGTTTTCAACTCATTAGAATACTGTGGTTGGCCACGGCTATCATTGAAGCCTTTTACGTTTGCGTTGGAACCAGGTGGCTGCTGAAGACCAGCGGCTGTCAATTCCTGAGGAGTGGTGAGAGGTCTACGTAAATCACCCCTGTGTTCTTCTCCGGGGGCAATCCCTCTACCTCTTCCACGACCTAATCGGCTGGCATCATCCATCTTGGACACTTTAAAATTTTCAAAGTTTATTAATATTCAGGAACTAAGGAAAGCTCTCGCAACAAGAATATACTATTGTAGCACAGACTCACTTAATGAAGGCAAAACGAAAGTGCGAGTATCGTCGGTGTTCGAATGCAGAACAAGTTGTTATGTCCGCATTTGGAAATCCGAAGTCAGTTACCCTAATTGATACCCGAACATGATGAAGCATTACCCTATTTTGTGAATTTTGGCACGAAATATATGAATGATATCACTAAATTGCTGTGAAAATTATTTTGAATGAAAAATCACTCATTACAACATGTTACTAGGATTGGGCAAACTAAAAAGTTCAGCAGGCATTCGTTGAGATTTCTATCCTTTCATCAGGTTTCATCAGCAGATGAATCGTAAACAGTGATCATTCATATCAAAAGTTCAACAGTACTTGATAATTTCAATTTACCAGCATAATTTTCCACTTTATAGCACAATGCCCAATAAAGAATGATCAATGGCAGAGAATTTCTGGGGGAAATCTTTACCCTGAAGTTGGAAATCTAGGCCTATTTCTATGAAAAGTGACTAATTGATGACTATATACGGACCATTTTTGTACCTAAAGTAATTTATGTTATACTATTTCCGTTCTCAAATATTCAGCAAAACTATTAGCATTCAAATTGGGCTCATTTCTACGTAATCATACTCCGTTGCCCTGTACGAAGTGCTTGCGGAACCTGATGGACATGTGTGAGGAACTCACTAATAGACACAATTGTTCATGTAATTCCTACACTTATGCACGCACAAAAGAATATGCAACCATGAACTAATACTTATTTTTCGAATCTAATTTCCCACGTGGTAGTGGTATTTCATTTTATCTAAATTGATTGAGATTATGGCCTAGTGGTTCAGAGTACCAAGATTGGAGCAGAGAGGTGCGGGTTCGATCCCAGCTCTGTGCGCCAGTTTCTCGTCAGGATCGGCGAGCAGGCAGAGCGGTTAAGCACAGCAGAATTGTAGCAGTGTGTTGCGAGTTCGAAACCGCAAATTGCTGCGAGTGTTCTGCGATGTTAAGAATTGGCGACAGGCCTACGGCCCACTAAACGCTGAAATCGCTATTATTATTATTACTGATCTGCTATGCGCTTTCGTTCCGGAAGCGCCGATTTGGTGTCTATATTTTATGTATTAATCTAAAAATGGCGGGTCATATATGGTTGAACATAAATCGTGCCAATGATAACGTGATGATGTTCGTGATAACAGTTCGTGCCAATGATAATTTTTATTTAGGATTCGTGGAATGAGTGCATTAATTTTTTAAGACGGAGTTTAAAAAAACAGTAACGGCCGTGTGACCAAGTTATTACAAACAGCAAAATATGTGTAGTGAGCTGCAACTTCGAGGTTGGGGAGCCTTAGTAGAACAATAACATTATGCGGCATTAAATTCGGCGGCAGACCGCGCATTGCTCAACATTCAACGGCAACCGTTATTATAATTTACTCGGCAGTTCCTTTATAATAAAATTTATTTTAATTTATCAATTGTGTTAACTTGAGAGCTTTGTATTGAAGTTAGCTTCGTGCTACCTTCAATATCTCTTTCCTAAAGTTATTCCAGAACGGTTTGATAATGCTTACGTTGCGGTACTTCAATGTTTAATCAAATGTAGCTCTTTTAATTTACGAGTTGCTGCTCCAACCCACATTGCGATTTGACGTAGAGATCAAAAGAACTTATGGGGGCATTGCAATGACTTAATAACTTCTGCGCTTTGAAACCACTAAGAGGAAATCAAAAGATGCTGATAAGAACAATCTTACTCGCAAAGACTGCAAGCCAATTATTTAAAAGTTTCAAATCAAAGGGAACTTCTGGTGTGACGACGCTCAGCATAGGACTACCATAAAATACAGTCAACGTTGAGCTCATTTTCGTTGAAAGATCAAGAACGCCGCCAAAGTCACCGTCTCCATGTTCACGATATTTAGTTACGCCTCGAACTTTAAATCTTACGCAAGCGCCATTCTGAGACGATTGCTCTGACCTGCTACAAGAAAATTATACATACATGATATGAATTAATAAGATAGGCTAGTAAAATGCAAACGTTCCTGATACATCGATACTTTATTCGTTTGAATCGTAGAAGTTTGAGTTCAACAATGATCGGCTAAGCTTACATAACTCCAATGAACTAAGCAAATGATTAATAATAATAATTATATATTTTCTATTTACAAAATATGAACCTAGGCCAAATCTTCATTTATTATAAGGCCAGTAGATGAGTCATAGTCTAGACAGGCTGCTAACTCTGAACCATTATAACATACATAAGCCTCGGCTATCAGGTTCACTAATCTATCGTGTATCATAGAGAATTAATACCTAGTGCAAACATAAAAAAATCAAAACTTGACACACACCGTTCTCTTCAGAAATTGTATAGCTCCTTAAAATTCGTTTTGACTTGTTCTTCAATAGTTACAATATAGGCTCTCTTAAACGAATAAACTACCTGCCTCTTAGTCTGTTATCCGACAAGTGTTATACGGAGACATGAAATTCTTGTGATATACTGATAAGCTCGCAAAAAAATCATTGGACCAATAATTACCATAGTGTTAAAGAAAGGAAAGTTTCATACAAGTAAAGGTTACGATAAGCAGTTCTGTGAAAGATGAACGAACGTTAGACAACAACGTATGAATTTTGTATAAACGAACGTATCAATTTTGGGTTCCATTGCGGAAAATAATTATGAGAATTAAACTACTTTGCTACTACCTGCTACGTTGCTCATATAACCTGGTGGTAGATCAATAGTAGATAAAGTAGAGCATCTTAGAAACCATATTCTGATTTACAACGTCGCACAAAAACGGCACTCAAACTCGCAAAATTTAAATATACCAGGAATATGAACTATCCTTCGTAAACTAGGCAACAGTGATGATACGAGAGCGTGAATTACAACTCAAGGGCACATACGAAATGGATTTACACTTGAATACAATTTAAAGTGTAACTAACTAAATAGCGTGGTGTACGATGGATGGATTTCTGGTCAGAGACGCTAGCTCAGAGTTTCTGAGATTAATATTCCACAGAACCTTGTGCTACATGCAATGGTGTGGACTGTGCAGGCCTCATTGCCAATGCATACTAATGGCAAAGAGAGTCTGTCAACAATTAGGAACAATGTCGAGAGATATGGAGTCTAGGTAACCATGTCGCTGAGCAGTGGTAATAACATGTTACTCAACAGAGGCTCTAACATGTCACTCAGCTCTGGAAATAACATGTCAGTCAACAGTGGCAACAACGGAGAACAAACCCTAGACGAAGCAGGGGAAAGTGCGCGGATATACGGTAACACCCACCAAAAAATACACCGATATTTCAAAGACCTTTCACAAAAAAAAAAAAAACTTAATTGGTTTGAACAAGTTGCTGAAAGAATAATTCATGATCCTCAGCAAACGACAAGAAACTTCCGGAATCCCTTGATGTTTTCCAGGGTCAGGAACATTATTCCAACAATATATGCTTCCAGAAGTAAAACCTAAAATATACTGAGTATTAAACTGTGTCAAGTACTCAGTTGAATAAAATTGGTTGCAACAGAACATTTACTCTCATCTTGACCGGAATTCGTCCGTTGCACCCAGATGCGCATTAATTTAAATTAACCAAATCTGTGTCGTCACTGCTGGACAAAAATGAGATGCTGTCTACAGAATACATTGAAAGACAGACCTACGCAGAACCATATGCACTCTAATTAGAAATTCAGACAAGACGTGACAGCATCAGCGCAAGGAACATAATATTTCATCAGCAAGGCATAAGGTAGAGCTCATTTATATCTAAACAACACGGCAATAAAAAAAAAAATGGATCACTTCAGTTAATAAAGTATTAATAAGAGCCGAAAAAATAAACCATATAAGCAAACAAAACTACCTTGAAATCAATTAGCGTTATATTAATTGCGAGATCTGGAGGTTACCTCTTAAAGGAGATGCAACTTGTTCAGAATTGAGATAAAAATGAATTAATTTCAAGCGAGTAGGCACAACCACATAATAAATGTCATCAGTTATCCTAAAATCTTTTGTCAACATGGATGTTTTTCCTGCTCCTCGGTCAACTGCATTGACCTTCACAATTATTTATGCAATATTAACTACTATTACAAGGTGGACGTAGAACAGTAATAAATTCGGTGGTGGTGGTAATCTAATCCGCAAGAAATGAAGTCCTGCTGCATCCAACACCAACAGCACTTCGTCGTTCATCCCCAATAGTATAATAAACAGTACTAGCGCGTTTACACGAGGTTAATCTATCTTCAATAAATCAATCATTGAGTGGCCAGAAGAAGGCAGCAATATCTCGGTCAATATTTGTTAACTGAAGAAATAATTATCAACGTTTATTGATAAATATCAACATTTGTTGATAATTATACCTGGTGTAAGTCAGTCAACCCCTCAAGTGGTTGTGTCAGCAACGCCTCTTCGGCTGTCATGTCGGCACGGGTCAACAACATCCTTTAATTTTCAAGAGATGAGAAATTTCATAAACTTTTTTATCAAATTTCTGGTGAATGAACAGTGGAATTTGCAAGGAATTAAGCTTTTTGCACAATATTCTCGAAAGTAAGCGTATTATTATTCACCATAACATTGAAATTTGAGAGTATGATTAAATTTCTAGAATCTTGAACGAAAAAAAAATATATAACAGATTTCGAGTCTTCTTTTAACTAGAAAAGACCTAATATTAATTTTTTCTCACTCATTCATATCTAGCGCAGAGAAAAATAATCCTTGGAGTTACGAATAACGCAGTGATGGGGAAAAATTTTTGAATGTAAATGAAGAAATAAGTATGAAATGACGGGATTTCAATAGTCCACGTACAGAGTATTCAGTTCCACTACGATCATGATCGCTGCTTGCGCTGCTAACAGCATGAATTCGCTCTACATAACTTTAATCAACTCTAAATAAAATATTTCCTACAGTTATGTCACTAGTTATACATTTCATAGTTAAAAGCAAACGGTAAATCCAAATGTGCATCTTTGCTCTTCCGAGGTTCCACAAATCCGGAATGGGTGAATAACTTTTATTCAAATTTTCGAAATTTAAAACACAACGGCTATTAAGGTCTTCGGGAAAAGCAACTAAAGCACTCAAGTTCCGTAATGTCAGGTCTTTTGTTGACTTTGTAATTTTACAATGATTCATGTTTTTAATTGCGCTATCCCTATCATTATATATCATAGCTCTGCTTTATTATAAATGTTCAAACGGATCACATTATTAGGTAATATACTGTACAACATCTACACATAAGTTTCTCAGACACGCAAGGCATACACAAGTGACATCAAAAAATCGATGAATTCATCTTCATCGAGTTAAAAACATTTCTTCAATTTATGTTCTTTGTGGAGTAGAAAACAACAATGATATGAACGTTAAATAAATAATGAGGACTGAATAAATCACCAGAATATACGAGTGGAAAGCACTAGCACTGAGAAGACGTAAGACTGCTTTCGTTGTTAGAATAAACAGCTTTCGATCGTATAAAATAACACCTCACAAATTGAAAGAATCCTGGAATTCAGTATCTCTCAGGGTTATATAAACATTTTATTTCTTTATTGTGGCATGACCTAAGTACTTATTATATTCATTTGATTGCTAACTTAGTAAATAAATCTTTTACGTATGTAACGTAAATCCATGATGCTCTTAACGATTCCAGAAATGTTTTATCAAGTTAAGAGAGCTGAAGTAACAACAAATGCAAGACTAAGAAAATTAAGCTGGATATAAACTAAACTATCTACGACTAAGAAACTTATTATGACTTTATTCAACCATTTGACTACTTCAATAGATCGGATAAGGGAAAAGGTCTTGATTGTATGTCTGCTTCACGCAACACAAATTCCAACAGGTTTTCATAACTCTGCTCAATCACAATAATATTGCCGAAAATTTTCGGTCCTGCCGCCACTTTCACGTCCACTAACTTGATATCACTAGAGAATATGAAAATTTTCTAAATTATCTTCATTTTGAGGCCAATCATGAAGTTTGGTTCTAGCACAGAAGCTTCGTACATGCTTGCGTACTGCTATTGTAATAAGCTTAGTTCTTCCAAGCTTTTTTCTCTTCATAATCATGAGAGCATATAATATAAACTTGCTTTTATAAAATGGTATGCCCATATTTTTTATTTAAACTACATTCGAAATACACACAAGAAATAATGTGTAATATTGTGAAAGACACCAATTCAAATTATGATATATTCTCGTTTTATAGTTGACAGTATTTGCAACAAATGCTGGGTTCATAACATATTCTCCAAATGAATGAGCTAAAGAATAAATGGCTGAGTTAACTCGGAGCAAAACCAAGATGGTAATAGAAGTAGTACAAGTTCACGTTCAGAGTTGGACAGACGAACCAAGTACAGTAAGAGTACATTTATGCAACCGCAGCCCTTGACATACCAGAGAAATGTTCAATGTTGTGGTGGTTATTAAGTTTGTAACAAAGCGTCATCTGCAATAAGGCCTTCTGGGTGCCGGCGCGGCGAGCATGAGCGGCCACCTTCCAGTGAAGGACGACCACCGAAACAAAAATGTGAGTCTGAAGCATGGACAATTTTCAGCCTTCTTGGCCAAAATCCTCGGTGAATTTTTTCAATTTTTCCAAGTCAGCTTCGTTCACGGAGGGCTTGGAATCGGCAAGTGATCGCAGCATGTCGCTCTGGAAACAAGACTAAAATGAACACTCAAATCCTGAGGCTGAGTTTCCTTCTAGTATATGCTCGTTAACGAACCTGAAGGTTAGGAAGAACTCAGAAAACAAACTTGAAGGACATAAAAAGTTGTAAAAGGAACATGAATCGTAAACAAGAAAAAGGAAAATGGATGATACTAGGTCGTAAACTTAACCTGAAAGATAGCAAGAATGAAAGAACGAACTTGATGGATGACACGAACAAGAAAAATAAACTTGAAAGATAGCAAACACAGGAAAAACAAACCTAAGATCATAGTAAGAGCAGGTACAACGATAAGGATATCAATTTTTTTTAACATCCAAATGATGTTTCCAAAGGAAAGACATTCAAAGGAGTGAGAGTGAATAGCAAGGAATGAAAATAAAAAGAAGTCTATGACAGGCATCCATCACTAATGAAGTGCCCATAAACCCATTCAATTTATTGGAAGACACAGATGAAACTATTGAAAGATCCGATATAATTGATGTAAATATTTAAATAAGTTGAAGCAGCAAATTACCAGTTAGCTTGTCAGTTTATAATCTTGCAGACAAATCCCTACTAATATCCTATAAGATTTTACTACAGACCTTTGAAACTTTTCATTGCCTCGTTCATTTTATTATAGTGTGATTGCTCAAGAAGCTTGTTGATCAGAGAGTTCAGGTTGAAAAGCTGCAAGTTATTGTCTGACGGAGTTACTAAGGCTTATTTATGCTAGTACGGCCGCATCACTTGTTCTCGTCTCGGTGGTTACTATCTCGTCAGAGGAGCAGGACGTGGCTGGTGTAAATAAGGACTTACCAAGTGCAGGTGGCTGAAGCAGCTTGTCCCTGGGACTTGCTCCTATCCCAGAAGGCAGGGATTTAAATAAAGACTTACCATGGTCACGGTTGGCTCAAGAAGCTTGTCCCCTGGCACTTGCTCCCATCCCATCTCGATGGCTCCTTTCTCGCCAGGAGAACAAGGCGTGAGGAGGTCGTGGCAGATGACGTTAGGATCGTTGCGTGACGGTCCCGAGACTCGCTTGAAGTGTGTTGCTGTCTGCACCTTACGTACGGGCTGCATCAGCGAGTCGCGCACCACGATGTTGATGTCAGCTCCAGAGAACCTGTAATGCATGCCACCATCAATAAACTGAAGGCGAATATGTGCAAACTCAGCTTAAAGTAACTGAAAATAACAAGTCATTTCAGCATATAAGTGAAAAAATTCAAGCATACAAGTGAAAAAAACGGCTTCATCATCAAATCCGGGACCATGTGCACGATGTCGGCTCCAGAGAAATCTATAAGCATATGCCACCCTCAATACAAATAGCTGAAATGCTAGATTACTCAGGAACCCTCCCTCTTTTCAACCCCCCCCCAAAAAAAAGGCAAAAAATATTTCTCTCAAACTGCAAAATATTAAACAGTATCCAAACTGGTTTCTTTTACCCTTCAGTCTCTCTGCCAAGTCTTCTAAAGTCTTCCTCGGTAAGGCTGTGAGGGGTGTCACCAATGCTGAGCTTGAAGAGATTCGTGCGGCCAGGTTCATCAGGCAGGGGAATGTAAATACGCTTCTCAAAGCGTCGCCTAATAGCCGAGTCCAGCGTCCAGGGGATATTCGTTGCCCCTAACACCAGCACTCCGTCATTTGCTGTCCCCACACCTGCAAGGGTTAAGGATATAAGTCCAGCGTCCAGGGTATATTGGACGTCCACAACACCAGCACACCATCATTGGCTGTCACCATACCTGCACAGTTCAGGGATGTTACTCTAGCTTCAAAAGGATAGTGGTGGCCACCAGCACACCAACTTTTTCCTGTCCCCACAACTGTGCAGCATAAGCAGTTGCAGTGCTTCATTAAGAGCAACTAGAGCTCGTAGCAGTAGCATTTAGAATCGTAGCAGTGCTTCATTTGGATTGTCATAAACGTCTACTCCAACAAGATTAACCCAAAATTGTGAATAGTTCAACACATTATGTAAAATTTGTGTACCAGCCAAACAAATAATTAGTTTGTCACAAAAGGGATTTTGGACCAAATGGTATGTTGCTAAGACCAACCTTGCATCTGAACCAAGAATTCTGTCTTTATTCGCCTGGCACTTTCACTCTCTTGATCACTGCGGGACGAACATAGAGAGTCAACCTCATCTATGAAGATGATGGAAGGCTTGTGTTCCCGCGCCATCTCGAAAAGCGTCCGCACCTGCAAAACAAATTTTAGTGCATAAATACTTTAGAACAAAGTGCATATAAAAGGATGCACTGGTATGTCTAAAAATCATAATGAATAGAGATTGCACAAAAGTAACACATTTGAAAAACTAGAATGTACCAATAGGCACACGTTTTCATAAATTTTCAACCAGAAAACTATAGAATAAATTTAGAAGATAAACCTCAAAATAACTAGGAAGTAAAAGAAAAACGATACAACAAGATTGCAGATTCAAGTGAAAAAAGTTTTCAAGGTTTTAAAGACATTGTGGTATGGCAACCATCTTACCTGCTGCTCAGACTCTCCCAGCCACTTTGAGACAAGATCTGCAGATGATACTGTGAAAAATGTGGAGTTATTGGCTTCTGTAGCAACGGCCTTGGCCAAGTATGTTTTACCAGTGCCAGGAGGTCCAAACAAAAGAATGCCTCGCCAAGCAGTTCGCTTCCCAGTGAACATTTGTGGGAATTTAATGGGCAAGATGACAGCTTCCTTTAGAGCAGCTTTGGCTCCCTCCAGCCCAGCCACATCATCCCAAGACACATTTGGCTTCTCTACAACAATGGCGCCTTCCATTTTTTGTGCCATTCTTTTTCGTGCTGGATCTTCATCATCCGAATCATCCTTGCTGTCTTTCTTGTTAGAAGATTCGCCATCTTTCATAGGCTTCTTGCGGTTATCACCTTTGTTAATGTATTCTTTAAGCTTCTCAGCCCGGTCAAGATATTGCTTACACTTGGATCGGATGGTTTCCTTGGCTCGGTCATTGGGTACCTCATCTGCTCAGATATGGGTATAGAAAATTAGTCATAGTCATCATAGTCAGAGACTATGATACACTAACCATGAACAAAAAACAAATTTTTACTCATAACCATTTAGCAAGCAAGCATTGAAATATTCAGAAATTAAAATTTCAGAAACTAGTTCATGAAAGTAAGAAGTATTACACAAAATATTTATTCATATGTATTTTTCAAGATTTTCCATATATGAGGTTTAAATCACACTTGAAGAATTTATTTAATGTGGTCACTACATGAAATATTTTCTTTATAATAAAAGAATGTTATGCAGCTGAAAAAAATAATAACATGAAAATTCAATTTAGTTCAATTCAATCAAGTTACCTTAAATAATTAAATATATATTGATACTTCCGCATTTAAAAAAAACGCAGAAAGAGCATCAATTTCATCGTCCAAGTCAAAACTTTAATTTAAATGCTTATATTTTAATGTTTGGGCATGGCAGGTAGTGATGCTAACCCAGCTATGGATAGAATGATGATCAGATAATTAGTGATTGATTGAGGCATTATAAGAAGGCCTCAAAAACAAACAGGAAGCCATGGTGGGTTAATGCCAATGAAAGGGTTAAATAAAAAATGTAAAAAAATGGATGAACCACATTAACTACAAAAGAATTTGTATATCCTTTCCTTAGAAAAATGACACTGCTAACATTATATGTAAACTATTCACTATTATACATACACTATTTATAAGTTCCATGAAGAAATGCAATTTATAAATTTTTACATCAAACTAATGCAAGATATTACAATAAGAATGGACTGTCATAAATGGTAAAAAATTCCTAATGGAATAAGATATAAAATTTGTAACAAATGGTAGGATGCAACATGCCATTATCACTTGAGAAAAACCTATAAATTGTTTACTTACACTTCATAGCATGAAGAAAGTATTCCACTGCAGTCTCATAAAGATGGAGAGCTTCTTTATAGTTCTTACTCTTGTCTTCTTCTGTAGCCTTTGTTACCAAATCGATCGCTTTCTGGAAGGACAAAATTAAATCAACTTCTTTTGGTATGCACAAAAATGTAAACTTGACTTTCTTAATTTGATTTAAAGGGTCTTGCCTTCCAAGAGGTATATATATACATTTTATTAATAATTTTGAAAAATAAAAAATTTCTGCACATAGCTTCAATACTGCTAAAATGAATTATCAAGCAGAAGTCACCCCAGAAGGAGACAAAAACAACAATAAGTGCCAATAATTTCACTCCTTGCTTAAGCCTTTTCCCATTTATGTGTGAAAATTGTGGAAAATGACACATTCTTTACCAAATATTTTAAAAATCACTTATTAAATGAATACTTTTACCCAGGATCTTCAGAAAATTCTTCATGATACAGTATTCTAGATTATTAATACTAAATAACTGGATAGAACTAATGTGACCCATTGTTGCAGGGGGAGCTGTATTGCTTTTTAGCCCAACCCTTTGGCTTTCTGCTTGTTTATTTAATGTCTGGGCTGTGCTATCTCATTACGTAACTGTTAATGTAATTTTCTTCTTTCTGTTTTCTCTCTAGTCCAGACAAGGATGTAAAATGTTTAATGTAAAGTACCATAAAATGGGGTAACTTTGACCACTTTTTTTTTTCAAAATGATCCCATTTTTTTACTAGATAAGTTAAACTTAAATTGAAACATACAAAATACAGGTCTATACTCTAGCTCTACTCACCATAAATTGCTGGCTCCTGCCTCTCATATTTTTGATGCAATTTAAAAAAAAGTGATGGTCTTTGTTACCCCAGCTCTTGGGGTTTCTTTGACCGGACGGTAAAATCAATTTTATTTTTTTGGTAAAATAACTCCAAATAACTTCAGGTTGAGGTGCATTGTAGTAGAACTCTTCTAGTTACATATGCAAGAGACAAATTTTAGGAAAGTGTCATAGTTTGCAAATGGGCGGCGCCGCCACCAAATGGGCGAAATGTGACCATCTAATGGCAGCCGTGACGGGGTAACATTGACCGGTTTGGAAATTAAGTTAAAACTACCATATATAAGACTCGGTAGAGTCTGAAACATAAAGAAAAAAACATTAATAGGTGTATCAAACATAAAATATGTTATATAGGTACCTATGGTA